CTATGGTCTGTCTTCATTGCTGGAGTTTGTAAAAATTTCACTCAATAGGGGTTAAACAGATCATATTTAATCGGTCAGTTAATTTGACATAAGTTAAAATTATTCATGATGTATGATTTGATGAAACAGTGAACAAATACATTACCAGTCACAATATCCTTAAAAGAATGAACTAGTTAATTAATTAATTAATCAATGAAATGGCATCATATGTCAGTTCACTTAACAGTTTATGACCCATAAAACATTGACACCTGATGGTCCTAAATTGACACGACCAAGCATTCCATGTTCCTGGGTTTTCACAATGTGAAGGAACAGAAGAACTGTGTGGAAAAGATTATTGCGGCCCTGCAACATAATAGCATAATTACTTGTCATGTCCATTCAGAATGCAGCTCTGACTTGATATAAGTAAATCACAAACCTTTGTCACATCCAATGTTTCTTCACCTAGCACTAGAACATAATGAGGTGGATGGAGGCTGGTCTGATGAATAGCAAGTGTGTTTTTTGCCTTTGGTGGCTTATCAGGCGATTTGAAGAAGTGCTGTGTACTAAAAGGCCGTCCATCAGGGTTCTGAGGAAGTGGCAATAATTGAGAATCTAAGTATGTTGCCAACAAATGCATAACCAACTGAAAGCAAAAAAAATAATATTATTTTAAAAATTAAGAGTCAATTCAAGTTGGATGTAGCCTAACTGAGACAATTCAAACAAACCATTGCATCTGTCGGTAGATTTTCATCCCAGCGTTTTCCATTAAAACTACCACCACTGTTCCATCGAAATTCACTCATGCATCCACCTTTCGCAAGTTCTAATTCAAAATGAGAAATAAAATTAATCAAGACAAAAAGAAGACAAAGCAAGTTATGTGAAATGATCCTACTCACCTCGGATGCGAGAGACAATGTACTCTTGGTGCGGTGAAAGCTCCAAAAATGGAACCAAATTAGGAAGTGTAGGGATATTTTGTACCACAGTCAGGGTGCGAGCTGTTTTTCTCAATCTCTCAAGGCCCACTTGACCTACTCGAACATCAGATATGCTCTGTCTTCCTAAAGCAGCATCAACAGCGTCAATTTCCTTTTCTAACCTTTCTAAGATAGTTTGAGAAATCCACTGCAAATATGAACATTAGTTTATAGTTTAGAGTTAGTGTATCGTATTAGAAAAATTGCAAAGGAATTTGATCATGCTCATATACCATTCTAAGGTTGGCATTCCACTGTGTGAGGATAGATGGATTTATTTTGAAACGGCGCCATGCCTCTTGACTATGATACAAAGCTGATGGTGAACTTGTATCGTCATTTGTTGCTCCAGGACTACTAGGGCTCTGGGCTGTATAGATGTAGTTGATTATCATACCACAAATATTGAGTGCCATGAGACTTTGGAAGATGTTTGCAACTTACTTGATGAGTGAGATGCTAACTGATATGTACATCTTCTGAGTAATGGAGACACTTCGCCAGCAGTCCGGCTTGCTGGATGACTCCAAAATGAGCTGAGAAGATTTGTTGGCTGCTCAATGCTGGCGGCTAGAAGGAAAAACATCACCTCATGAAATTGATTTAGTTCAAACAAAGAATTAAGCTGCATCATTAATGATTGAGATGAGGATTTAAAAAATGGACGACAGTGTGCAAACTTATGAACCAGTTTATTAATGAATCCCATGACAAAGAAAACAATGTAATATACTTAAGAATAGTACTAAAATCATGCACTCTTAGCTCAAGCGCTCAAAACTGGGGTATGTCAGAGTGAGTTCTCGATCAACAGCTCCCATTACAATTGCTAGTACCTGTCATTTTTTTTACTAAGGGATATAGAAATGAAAAACTAGACAATTTCTGTGGTGCAACTAATTGCAAATACTTAAGCAGTACATTGACAAATAAAATTTAAAAAATGAA